AACAGCAACTAAAAATGATAGGTTTTACTAAATCTTTTTCTGTGCAATTATTACTAGCATTGGAGACAAGGATATTAGTTTGTTTGAAAGAGAAAAGAACAGGCTTTGAAGTAAGCCTAAAAGCGTTTAACTAGAAATAGTATTTCGAAAGTTATTAAGCATAAAAGATGAATTGCGTTTATTTTGATACACCCTGTATAGTGCATTCTCACTTATATTATCCTTTCTCGACATCTAGCGCGCTCACAAATTCTTGTCATGCAGAGTTTATATAATTTCCTTTCTTCCCAGGATTCTAGACTTTCGAAATCCATCTTACTGAATCCTCATGCTATAATTTTTCTTAAAAACTCTCCCCTTCTTTTCAGCTGGGTTCTGACCTATTCCGTACACAGATCTGTTCCTGGAACAATTTGTAGTAAATTTTCATTCCAATTTTCAGCGTCAGCGCAGGACCTTTTTAAGATTTCTCTGGTGGGGGGAGGGGTGCATCAAAGAAAACGGATCTATATTTGACAGGAGGGACCAGCACCTGGTGAGCGACTGTATGCTCTATGTATAGGACTGCTGGTCCTGATATGAAATGAAGTTGTGGATTCTAGGGGAGACCTGGAGACATTCCTCCGACAAGCCCTGAAAGTGCATTTCCAGCCATTTCCCACAGTTATTTTGTTTAACATGATCCTGGGGCCGGTTGCCAGCGCTTAACTTCTGTAGTTCGCGTTAACTGCAGTTAAAAAGTAGTTAAAGTTAACTATACATATATACTCTAGGCCCATTAACTTCTCAAACGTATAGTTAGTATGTATAGAAGTGAGCAACATTTTTCGGTAAAACAATAATGAAAAGCAACACTTACCTGGGATTTTCAATAGTTATCTTCTTTGTGAATGTTTCACCTGACAATATAAACTCTTCAAACGCTATCGCTTTGGTGTTTCATTGCGAAAAACAGAATGTATTTTTGCACAGGAAGATTTCTCGAAGACGACGTACGTAGAGCCCATACACGAAGAAAAATGACGTACAGGGTGTATAAAAAATCGAACTTCAGCGCGCTATTGTATGTGAATTACTCGGCGTATAAACACATTTTTTTCATATTCGGAAAGATCAAGCTTTTAGCTATTGAATTACATGTTTTTCATGCGAAGTGCGGAAAAAATAAGCAAATACGAGTCGAAAAAGCAATTAATCACAAACTTGTCGTAAGATTTAATTAACAATAATTATGAATATGTGCGTAGTTTATTGAAGTGAATTTTCATCAACAATTCAACACAAGTCCCAAAGGGGGTTAATTTTTAATGTTTTAGACCCAACTCTCAACGGTGAAAATATGCGATTCAGACTAACATTTTTATCGGATTTGTATTTGCTCATTTTTTATCCATTTGGCATGAAGAAGATACCATTCAATAGCTAAAAGCATGATCTTTCCGAATATGAAAAACTCTCGTTCATACACTAAGTAATTCAGATACAATAGCGTGCTGAAGTTCGATTACATTTTTATATACACATGGTATAATTGCCAAGCAGTTATTCTGCTGGGGTCTACACCGTAGGCTACACTTTGTTTTAACGTAGACTGAAATCTCAGGAGAAACGGCCTTCTTCCTTGATCGATTTTTTCTTGTTTTCTTCTTTATTTTTCACTATTTAGAATAAAAGTTAACTTTAACTACGTTTTTATACAACCAGCCCCTGATGATAGGCAAATAAAAAGTATGATATCACTTTATGCCAACACGTGACTGAGGAAAAGAACAAAGTTATACATTAATCTGCTCTGAAAAATCAATATTTCACACAAGTAGGGTTGCCTATTATAGCTAGTATACTTTTGCTTTTCTACTTAAGCCGGTTTTTCACTTGGCGGAAGTTTGCGCGCGGAGCGGAATTTTTCTTTGTCTTTTCTAATTAGTTCCACCCGAGAAATCACAAGACAAAGAAAAATTTCGCTCCGCGCGGAAAATTCCACCAAGTGGCAAACCAGCTTTAAAATAACTGTGCCTGCATGTCATTGTGGTATAGCCTAGCGTGTCATCATACTGCGTGCCATTACTCGTAGAAAAAGTGCAAAATTACATTCAGCATGTGGAACAAAGCAACAAAAATTACAAAATACAAATTTTATCCAAACAAAGGAAACTAAGAACTAAGCGATCGTACCGAGTTTCGATAGTTTGCAATCATTTCGATAGTTTGCAGAAATTTTCAAGATTTTCAGAAAAAAAGTTTTAAAAAAGAAAAAAAAGTTTAATTAATTAAAAAGTTAGATTTTCAAAAAAGTTAAAAAAGTAAAAAAAGTGTTAGGGGTTAATGGTTAGGGTTGGGGTTAGGGTTAGTGTTAGATGCCGCGAATTTATCATTATGATAAATTCAAAATGTGCCGCGAATTTATTATAATGATAAATTCGGACGTGTTTAAGAATTTACTCATATAGTAAATTCAAAGGTGGAGCTCATGCTGTGTTTTACGGTCTCTGTACGTACGGAAGCAGGGCCGTACGCAGGATTTTTTTTACCAGGGGGCAGTAAGGCATATATGCCGAAAAAAGTCCCAAATACCCGGCAAATAATAATTAGTAATGTCATTCTAAAAATCGTAAATATAGTTTTCTCTAGGGGGGTAGTTGCTCCCCCTGCTTCCCCGCTGTGTACGGCCCTGCGTAGGTTCTGATTCTTGTGAATTACAAGACTGAAAGTGCATGCGAATTGCTATCGAGGTGTGCGGTTCAAATCAACTCGCAGAAAATTTCTATATTATACAAGTCCCGCTCGTCGTATTTAGCAAATTTTCTCCCAGTACCGCAGGCTCGCATATTCCAGCGAATTTGCGGTGAAAAATTGAAAGTTTTGCATTTTGCACAGAACTGGCCATTTTGTGTAAGATGTCCGCTGAAAATACGAGCTTGCACGAGTAGGAGAAATTTCGCTAAATTTGACCAACGTGTGGGTCTTCACCTCCAACATTTTCCGATATAATTCAGAAAATATTGTCGTCATATGCTATAATTACCTACGACATCAAATCTTATTCTTCTCATTTTCAAACATTGTCAAAAATAAAGGAGTTATGCAGCTGAGTAAATGATTACTAGCATAACTAATTAGTTTTCATGACACAAAAGTCAAATTTGGGGGGGACAATGTGAAAAAACTCAAACAGTGTATTTGCATTAATCATATCGGTACGTGCTATTTTTGTAGACAATTATTTTACTGCGAAATGGGAGAATTGGGAGTAAGAACTAGTACACAGGAGGTTATATGGCCTTTTTTAAGATGATATGGAAAAGTAACTGAGGGGGAAAAATTGAAAGGTAAGGAAAAATCAAAACACTTTAACATCGGATACTTTTTAATATTGTTTCACTTTCAATAAAGTACAATGGCATATGAATATAGTCAATAAACCTAATAAAACGAAGGGACAAGAGATGAATTTACTTGTGCATGATAATGAATATTTGTGTTCAAAACGTCCGAAAAATGAATAACGGAGTTGTGGCGGAAAAGAATAAAGAATGAAAACTAAAAAATGAATGAACAATTCGAAAAACGACGAATAATGAATAATTTGGAAATATTTAAAATAGCCGATAATGAATAATTGAGTCACAATTATTCCACTTCCACCCCCGAAATTTATATTAATATGCATGCGCAATAAATACCCATGTGTTTTTTCTTGATATTCGGAAGGTGATCTTCAAAGTCAAATGTTAAAATAGATTTCAATTTAACTGATAAATTTAAATTATAATACGTTTTTGTCATTAAAATGATTCCTTTTGCCCCAAAAACATTTGTTGAGTTGTATACATTAAAATTTTGATAGTTTTGTGTGTTTTCATGTTATAGCTCAGCTGCTCAGTTGGCAGAGCATTGCACTATAGTTTCCCAAAGGTCGCGGGTTCGATTCTCACCGTGGTCAGGCTAATTTTTCAGCCTGCCCGGTGTAGATATACACTCAGAGTAACATAAAAATATTATATTAAGATTTTGCCATGTTATTATTGGACGCAAAATAATAATCTTTTAAGCACGTTTTCTATAAATTTCTCGCCACCTAAATAAGAACGTGATGAGTGATTCAGTCAGACCTGATTCTCACAGACAATTACTATTTGGCTAATAAAAGCACAGAATGTTGACAGAGCGCATGCGGTATATGACAAGATCAATTTTTAGAAATAAAAGAAAGATTCGAATTTTAATATGAAATATCCTCGACGTAATGACGTGTATGATTGGACAGTTCAAGATTAATAATTGAACTAGTTTGATCCCGTGAGATCAAAATTAGCCAAGTAATTTAAAGGCGTCGAAATGACGAGGATATTGTCGGTCATCAATTTTAAATTGTTTCCTCAGTCTATTATTAATTTGCATTTGTAAACGTACGAAATCTGTTAAATTACTGCACCGGTAAAAAGTTGTCCTCTATGATGACTTAGAATCTTAATAAGAGGATTTTATGAGTTAAATGATTTATGTCAGTACTGTTGTGCCAGAAAATCAGCGAGCCTTTGTGCTGTTAATAGTTAGATTACTCACTGCGGCAGTTTTAAAATATACTATAATTTAATTTTTTGTCTGGTTGTTCATAGCAGCGATTGACGGATATTGGAATTCAAGAGGACTCAACAAAGAACAGCGACAGGAAATAAGCAAAAAGTTCTGGCGAAAGTATTTTATATGCTGCCTGGGGACGTTACTACATTGACATTGTATAAGTTCCGGATTTACAGAGAGGACAAAGTACGTTCACTACTTTGCCTGGATAGAAGAAAGATAAGGGATATTCAAGTGATTATTGTTGCATCATTGTGCTCTTTGTGAGTATGTCTCATTTAAGAACAACATTTGTTTGGTTCTTCTTGTCCTTGTTTGTGATTACGTATTGCAGTGGCACAAGATCAATCAGTTGCAAGAATAGAAGTACATTGTCTGTTCCATTGTGTAAAAATGGGGATTTAATTATCTCCGCCATGTTTCCAATAACCGTTGAAGGGAATGCAACAAGAACTGGTAAGCAACAATGTACATTCTTCCGTCTTGGGATAATTCTCTTTGAAGCGTTTCGTTATGCTGTGGATAAAGTAAACAACGAAAGCATCCTAAAAGGAATGACATTAGGTTACGATGCATTTGATACTTGCAGCAGAGTTGATGAATCTGTAAAAATTGCCTTGAAGGTACACGAATCCGTTGAAAATAACTCAAAAAGAAATATCAGCAAATATATTGCTGTTATAGGAGCAGGAAAAAGTGAGTTGTCCATTACAGTGAATGATATTCTCGGTGCCTTTGGTATTCCCCAAGTTGGTTATGCTTCTTCGTCTAAGATACTGAGTGATAAATACAGATTTTCAACGTTTTCTCGAACAATTCCAACGGATACTTTACAAGCAAAAGTAATTGCTAGAATTCTCAAGCAACTAGGGTGGACCTATGCTATGCTCGTTTATACCGACGACAACTATGGGAGACCATTATATTCCTCGTTACTTTCTTACTCCGAAATGAATGGAATATGTTTTGCTGACATTTCAAAGCTCCTAAATCCTGTCACCGACGAGAAATTGGCTGACGTTGTCAAAAAATTGAGAGAACACAATACAGCTCGCGTTGTTGTCATGTTTTTGAACGGAATTAACTCTAAACGTTTAATTAAAATGGCTCGGTCAAGTAATATGTCAAGGAAGATCTGGATATTCACAGCGACTTGGTACAATGTACCTGAGATATTTGATGCAGAAAATGCCGAATTTCTTGACGGTTCGATTGGAGTTGTGGATGAAATCATACATGTGCCAAATTTTTACTCTTATTTTACTGCGAGACTTGCTACATGGGAACATTATTTAGGTAGAAAAGTCTTGGATACGAACGATGAAGAGACCACAATGATTGGAAAAGTTAAGCATGATTTAACGTCCCAGTTTCGGTTTTTGACTCACGTTCCGTATGTAATCAATGCTGTTTTGGCTGTTGTAAATGCTATCAACAAATTCTGCACTGAGAGATTTGCAAACTCGACGAGAGAATGCCAAAAGAAAATTAAAGCAAACTCTATTCTTCCCTATCTTAGGAACACAAATTTTAGAGGGATTAACAACCAGCAAGTCTTTCTGGATAAGAATGGTGATACTATAAATAACAACATCGATCTTTATTCTTTTCGAACATCAAAGAGCGAGAACACTAGAGCACATGTATCTCGACATGTACTTTTTGGCGTATATAACGGCACAGAGGACAATCTTACGTTGTTTTCTAACAAGTTTAACTGGAGTGGAGGAAAAATACCTTTATCGAGATGCAGTACACAATGTTCTAAAGGATTGTATAAAGATGTCAATGTAATTATGCCATGTTGCTGGAAATGTACGAAATGTCCGTTGGGAACATTTAGCAATAAAACAAATTCTGTAAATTGCAGAACATGTTCGTCAGGAAAAAAACCTAATCGCAATCAAACTGGATGTGAAATGATTTCATACGATTACATGCGATGGAATGACCCTTGGGCTATCGTTATCTTATTTTCAGCGGTGACGTCCAGTCTCACAGCGTTCATATTTTTCTTGATTTTTTGTTATTTTCGAACTACTCCAGTCGTTCGAGCATTTGATTGTGAATTTAGCCTTCTTCTCCTTCTCTCTATTGCAGTAGGACTGACACTACCCATCATGTACCCAGGTGAACCCAGCAACTTTCGATGTCGTTTACAAGACGTACTTCCTGCAGTTATTTATTCCCTGACACTTTCAATAATCATAGCAAAAACAAAGCGAACTGCCATTATTTTCAACAGTAAATCTGCGGCAAATATTCAAAATGTCCTAGTGCGAAGAAGTGTGCAATTTACATTGGTTTTGCTGTTAACATCGACTCAACTGATAGTATGCCTCCTTTGGTTAAGCAGCCGTTCACCATTTGTAAAAGAAAGGACTTTACATGACACCCGACATCTTGTGTGTGATTTCAATTCCTTGGTCTATTTCCTTCTGAGTAAATCTATACTACTATCGCTAAATACGTGGTGTATTGCAATAGCATTAAAGTCTCGCAAGATTCCTTGCAGTTACAGTAATTCAAAACATACTCTGTTTGCTTTGCTCACGTTTAAACTGACATGGCTGATGGGAATAGTGGGTCGATTTTACGGTGAATATGGCAGCACAGTAGACTCGCTGACAATCTTAATTTCCTACTCATTTTTACTGCATCTTATGTTTTCTTCCAAGATTTACGTGCTGTTGTTTCGTAAAGATTTAAATAATCAAAGAGTACTGCGTGAACGAACATGGGAGTTCACATTAAGGAAGCAATCAACATCTCTAAGCTCGCTACAGCTCTCAACCTCAATGCTAGATATGAAGTTTCTAAAAAGAGAAAGCGTGGCTTTGTCAGACGTTGTGAAGCAGGATAAAGGTGTGCAAACTGACATGTGTCTCGGAACAGTTGATGTATTAGTTCATGATTCATGATGTATTAGATCATGATACAATCTAATTGAAACGTTTTGATCAAGTACTGAAAGATCGACTTATTTTCGCTCTCTTTTCGTTCTTGACTAAATATATATTTTTGTGTAAATGAAATAAACTATGACATCACAAGCGAGGAAATTATTTGAAAAGCCAGCAGTCGCGCTGACCAATTTGAATTCAACAAAAAATGAAATAACCCGGATAACGTAGCTTAATTTGATTCATGGCTTACCCCGGATCATATGAATAAGAGGGCCCCCTATACCTCTTCACAATATGCTTTCACGTAAAAATATTTTGCCTTTTCACGAGTCACGGATTAAGAAAATCATCGATCACGTTTCACGGCTAAGTAAAATAAGCCCTTCACGCTTCACGCAAAAAGTATAGGGGGCCCTCGAATAACCACTAAGGCTACGTTTACACTATACCAGATAGCTTTCCGTAGCGGCATGAAAAAGCATCTATCCGATACGGAATGTACAACTTTCAGAAGCTGAGCGAAACAACATCTCTCCGTTGCAATAATTTCTCTGAAAATAGCGTTCCTAAAAGAACGGATAGGGTTTTTTCACGTCGCTACGGAAAGCTATCCGGTACAAGTGTAAACATGCATAGCCTAAGAGCCCTGTGGACTGCGAAAATATTCCCACAACTAGTGACGTCATCTTACTTGCATATCAAATAAATCAAGTTTTTACTACAAGCTTAGGTCCGGTCTTGGTCAGGTTTGTACTTCACTGGTTGGCTGCTTAGTTTGTCAGCCATGGCTTATGGGCTTGCAGTCTAAACATAACTAACGACATCTCCTAAGCCATAGAAACAGAAGTTTTGTCCACTGAGTCATTATACAGTTTAATAAAGAGTTCTTCAATCCAGAAAATCCTCAATTTCGTTCGGCCAACAGCCTGAGTGCCTAACACAAATCCCTGCCTGATTACTGCATGTAAAAAAGCCAAAATCCGGCTTTTCACCTGATTGGTCTATCAGACAAAAAATTTAATCCCTCTTTTGATTGGTTAGTGATTAGATTATACTATTGTTCACGATGTATTTAACAGTTTAATTAAACTATAATTAGATTCTTGTTGTTATTGTGTGAAATTGACATTTCGATTGGATACTAAATATAAACTTTACTGTGAGTGGAGAGCGATTGGTTAAGGTCAGTAACAGGCTCTATTTGTAAAATAGACCCTGATACTCAGTTTATTCGGCCAATATCCTTTAAGTGTTATAAAGTTTAATTTTCTGCTAGCCGAGGAACGACAGAAGCAGAATATGGTCTCTAATTAACACCCTACCGGAAAGTACATTGCCTATTTGTCTTTGTTTTGGACTCGTTTTTGTAATTTAAAGCCCGGATCAAACGAGTATGAGAGTGTATGATCGGAGTGTATCAGTTGAATGAGTTAAAACATTAACGAGAAACCTGTAAAATCTTTCTGAATGGGATGAGCAGACTAACAGTTTATTTGTTTGGCTTCATACAAAAGATCAGGGGCAATATTATTGATTGATAGAAACCACTGATCTGAAATAAGACTGGATAACGCATCTATAGTATACAAGTTACCGGCCGCCACCCGATTCTGGGGCCCCACTTTTGTATAGATTTGTATTACAGACGGCAGTTTTTCGCGTTGGCTACGTTTCCGACCGGGTCAATTTTACAATCACAAAGACAGAAGCATACAAGAAGAATTGATTGAGCAAAAAATTTGGAGTATTATGGCTTTATAACGCCGCGAAACGGGATTTATAACTCTGAAGGAGTGGATAGCCTCAGAACTGTGTTTGTCGACACGAGCTCGTTTTGCTACTTTCATACAAAATCAACTCAAAATATACAAAAATTACTGTTACTGGACGAATATTCTCAGAAATTTGAAGAAATGAAGCGCTACATTGTGAACGAAAGCGTACAGAGGTTAGTTTTAAAATACCTTGAAGCTACTTTTATAATTGCTTCCTCGTAGAGGCAGCATACTAATTTTGTCGGTCTCAGTCTTTCCGCGAGTTATGTGGAGGAGAATTCGAGATTTTCGGATTCAGTATTTAGAACAATGGATTGATGACGTTTTGTGAAGTCATAACTTCCGCTTTCTTTCTAAACGCCTGTTCGCAGGCTTCTTTCTTGAATAGTTCCTGGCAAGGGGCAAGGTGACAACAAGTTTTCCAAAATATATCGACTATATTTTGCTAATTTTGGTGTGTGTTCGTGGGGAGATATCTTTTGGTCAAATCAAATCAAAAGGGGCCGTTCAATCGTTCATATTGTGTTTTTCCAAAAAGTAGTGAATTATGAACTCGCTGTACCTGTACCAAACTTGCTAGCGATGTGTGAACTCGCTATATTTTATGCGAAGTGTGATCTCGCATACATATTTCTGTCAAAAGATCAAGCCAACAAGGTATTGTATATCAAATTTTACAAATATATATAGGTTGTATGTCAATTAGAAAATTGCCAATAAAAATAGTTATATATTACAGTAAAATGATTATGATATACAGTATTAAAAAGCCCCGCATAAAAGTTCAGTGAATTTTGACTTGCTTCACACTATACTTTTTATATTCTACATATTAAATAGGAACTGTTGTGGCATACAACTATTGCTATGACACTAATATGGTTGTTGTGACATATATGTGACAAGTTTTCAAAAACTTGTATTTTGGGTGCTTAATTGCCAAAACTTCAGGCTATAGTGGTTCTAACCTACAGGGGCCGGTTGTATAAAAACGTAGTTAGCGCTAACTGGAGTTAAAAAGTAGTTAAAAAGCCTTAAAAAAATAGTTAACTTTAATCACGTAGTTAAGTTAGTTAGTTGTATAAAAGTGTAGTTAGCCTTAAAGTTAAAAAGTAGTTAAAGTTAACTATGCTTTTAAAGGGTAAAACTTCGTTTGCCCCCCATCTCCCATTTCCCAACCTCCCCCCTCCCCATAAATAATGACCACTCCCTTAAAGGGGCAATGTCACCGATTTTTGGGCAATTCCAACCCTCGCAAATTTTGCCCAAAACTGAAAAAGAATGAGTGTAAGCACAAAATAAAGCAATAACAGACACAAAAAACATGTACAAAAGTCTGGATGGGCAAGATTACGCCAGGATTGAGATGGATTGTAAATGGCATCTTGATTAATTGTTGGCAGACACTTTTTCAAGTTTTAGTCAATTTTTATGAAAATGTCATATTACATGTTTCGTGGAAGTTCAAAGTTGTTTAATATGACTCATATATCATAACTTAATCCATTTACAATGTTTATTTTTAACTTTGTAGTTCAGTTTTTGAATAAACGGTATTTTAGGTCAAAAATTGGTGACATTGCCCCTTTAAGTCATGTAGTTAACTAATTACAGTTAAGGATTTAACTAGAGTGATTAACGCTAACTACAGTTAGCGCTAATTACGTTTTTATACAACCGGCCCCTGGTGGGGCTTTACTGTATATCAAATAACTTATAGGCGTAATGAAGTCTCAAGGCTTGATGCCTGCGAGAAATGCTGGTCTTAATAGTCATGACCTGGGACAATTTCGATAGTGGCCATTTGCAATTGTTTTATTTTCCTGGGCGATGACTACTAATCGAGCAGTATGATGCCCACATTGGAACACACAAAATTGTATACAATAATGATCACAATTTCTTTCTTATTATATATATAGTCATTACAAATGAATGGTCATCTGAAGCTGATGTATTAAACAAAAATGTCAACAAAATAGATTTTGTCTCCCGATTGGCAGATTCATTGTTCAGTTGTTCTACAGTAGGGGTAGCCTTGGAGGTGCCATTAAAATGATAGTTGGGACAAAACTGACTTCAAAGGGCCTGTTCATATGGGGAAAAGTTATCCCGTTAAGGAGAAAACGTTTCGACTAGCCAAATACTTTTGTTCTGTTCACATAGAGAAACTTTACCTCGCTTACCGGGTAAAGTTTCCGGCTGTGACGTAGCGCTGAACATGAATTGAATTGAAAAGTTGCTGACACGACAGAAAATTATCCCGCTATTAAGCGGGAAAGTTGTGTTCATATGGGAAAACCATTATCCCGGTTGAAGGAGAAAACTTTTCGACTAGCCAAATATTTTTGTTCTGTTCACATGGAGAAACTTTACCTCGCTTACCGGGTAAAGTTTCCGGCTGTGACGTAGCGCTAAACATGAATTGAATTGAAAAGTTGCTGACACAACAGAAAGTTATCCCGCTAAGCGGGAAAGTTGTGTTCATATGGGAAAACCATTATCCCGGTCACTGATATCTCGTTTGTCAACAAGCGAGATCTTGGTACACGGAAAAAGTTGTTGTCTCATATGAACGCAATGTAACTTTTCATATTATTTTCATACCAGGGTGAGATCTTGCTTGTAAACTTGTTGAAAAGTCTTCTCGCTAACACAGATATATTTTGCCCATATGAACATCAACAGGCCCTTACCTGGTAGTATTTCTATGTATGAAATTGTAATTAAATTCTACATTTCCAATGATTCATTCAAGTATTATTATTGTTTGTTATACATGATACTGTACAGTATTCAGTGGCAAGCTAGCCATGACAACTGGTCATGCTATGCCAATAAACCTGCATCTATCTGAATAATGCAAATCATTAAAAATGTGCATAGCATGACCTGTAGACTTTCACAAAGTCCTTCCTTTTTTAGAACGAAGGAATTT